CCTTGAAAACAAGGCCCTTAATTAAATCCCTGAAAAAAAAAAAAAAAAAAAAAAAAAAAAAAACTAATAGCTGGATTGTTCTGCCCCTCAGAAATTCTGCTGTGATATCTGTGATACCTCTTTGCCTTTTATATGGACTTTCTCCCCAGGACTGGGGATCTACCACTGAGGAACTCAGGAGTGCTCTACCACTGAGCTACATCCCCAGTCCTTTTTTGATTATTTGGTACCAGGGATCAAACTTGGAACCTTGTGCTTGGGAGGCAGACAGCGGAACCACAGAGCTAAATCTCCAGCCCCCCAGCCCTTTTTTGAAATTTTGAGACAGCCTCTCAAGTCCCGGACTGGCCTCAAATTTGTGATCCTTTTGCCTGAGGCTGGTATTACAGGCATCCACCGCCATACCTGACTAATGTAGATTTTTAAAAGCTTCTCCTGGGCCAGGGATTTCGCTCAGTGGTGCCACTGCCTGCCTCGCAAGTGTAAGGTCCCAAGTTTAATCCCTGGTACCAAAAAAAAAAAGCTTCTCCTGGTAATTCTAATGTGCAGCCAACATTGAGAACTGTTGCTTTAAAATAATTTCAGAGCCAGCTGTCCTACGCTTTTCTTTATAAGGATCTATAACTCTTGCTACTATATTATCAAAATACATATATCAGACTATTTTACAAATAATTTGTAGTAGTCATTTTAGAAAAATTACCTTTTTTCTGATGCTGGCAGTCAAACTCAGGGCCTTGTACATAAGCAAGCACTCTACCACTGAGCTACATCCCCAGTCTCTTAGAAATACTCCTATAGAAGACAAAAGACCAAGGTCTAATTTCTAAGCATATTATTTACAGAACAGAAAAAGGACGTTAGCACTCCCCATTTTCATACAAAAGAGACATCTTATTTTCTATCAATTAGCTCAGTTAAAACAAGCCTATTTTTCAGAGATCTGAGGATAGGTTATAAAATGGAGCATCTAGCTAGGCATAGCAGGCAGCCTGTAATCCCAGCACTTGGGAGGCCGAGGCAGGAAGATAACCAAAAGTCCAAGGCCAGGGCCGGAGATTTAGCTCAGCTGCCTGTCTTGCACGTGGAAGGTCCCAAGTTCAATGCCCGGTACCAAAAAAAAAAAAGTCCAAGGCCAGCCTAAACTACATAATGAGGTCAAGTCTAGCCTGAACTACATAGCAAGACCCTGTGTAAAAGACAAAAACAAAACAGAATCCCCAGCACTAAAAACAAGAAAGAAAAAGAAAGGTCAAGCCCTGCCCCAACCCCCAGTCTTGGTTCATGCTTCTAATCCCAGCACTCCAGGAGGCTGAGGCAGGAGGATCATAGAATCTGTCTCAATTTAAAAACAGAAGAAAAGAAGAAAGCATTATTAACTAATACTTCTGGACTAGCTGATTTTATCCTCATTAAGTATTCTGATCAAATACCTCTTTAAATACCTTAGTCTTATTTTTGTCTTTGTTTTGTTTAGGAGGCTTGGGAACAGAAAGAAGATGATGACCTCAAAAGAGCTACAGAGTTGAGTCTTCAAGGTATGGAGATTATTTTAATTACATTTTTAAAAAATAAAATGTATTACACATAGAAGAGCTTGTAAAATGTTTTTAACAATAACAAGTTTAAACTCCTCCCGTGTACAGAAGTAGAACCTCAGGGCCAGGATGTAGCTCAGTGGCACCATGCCTGCCTGGAAAGGGCAAGGTCCTGACTGAGTTTGATCCCCGGTACCACAAAAAAAAAATAGAACCTCAAAAGTTACCTGCAGCCAGGCACTGTGGCATACATCTGTAATTTCAGCATTGAGGAGGCTGAGGAAGGGGCATCATGAGTTTGAGGCCAGCTTGGACTACAGAAGTGAGGCCCTTTCTCAAAAAAAAAAAAAAAATTACTTGTATATCTGTTCTTCTCTGTTTCTTTGAGAGGAAATCACTATTCTTAACATTTATGTTCACCTATTTTTTATAGTTTTAGTATCTATCTATATATATCTCAACAGTTTAAAAACAAACAAATCAGGGACTATGGTGGCACATGCCTGTAATCCCATTGTTCTGGGAGGCTGACACAGGAAGATTGCAGGTTTGAATATAACCTGGGCAACTTAGCAACAAAGAGACCCTGTCTCAAACTAAAAATAAAAATGTGCTGGAGATGTAGCTCAGTGAAAAGGCCCAAACAATGTCTATTTAATGAAAGACTAATATCGCCAATGTTAAGACTCCTAGAACAGAATGTGGCTTCAGTTTTTCCTTGAATTTCCAAAAGCTCGCTGGGGAAATTGGTAGGCAGTCATAAGTGAGTATTGAGTAATGTAAAGTCCACATGGTCCTGGCATTTGTCAGAACTAATGTGTGAACCAGGTCTGGGAGGTCCACAGAGATGCATTGTCATGGAGATGGGACTGACTTCCATATTGTCTGTTTCTTACTTCACTGGCCTTTTTCCAGTTCTCACTTGGCTGACCTGGTCAGCAGGGGATGAAGGAGTGAGAATCCCACAGGCATATAATTGAAACAAAGTCACAAATAAGGATCCAAGCTAGGCACAATCAAGCACTCTGTCTTTCGGGTTCAGGGTAGTGAGCTGGTGGCAGGATGGTAGTCTGGAGTCACAGTGCTTCCTTCAGTCTGGACTAATAGCCCGCTGTGTCCATGCAGATACCCTGGATCTCCCTGCCCTTCTCCTGGGGACTCCTGACTTTTTTGTATGAATGTCTCATTTCCTGTATTTCATTCTTTATTCTTTGTATGTTTGTACTTTGATGAAAAACATCATCCAGTAGTTTTCTTAAGAAAGGGGCATAGTGCCAGGCCATGGTAGTGTATACCTGTTATTCGCCAAGTACTTCAAATTTATGTACTATTTTTATGATACAGAATTAAGTGAACTAGGATTATCTGTAAAAATATATTTCCTAGTTTTATTCCTTTCTTGTCAGGGTTAGACCCCTTTGTCGTGTAAATATGTATAAAAGAAGTAAGAGAATTTTATTTTTACAGATTCCATTGTCTGCCATTATTCCCTGGTTTGCACTGTGATATTGTTTCATGTTTTCTTAGGATGACAAAATGTGTATCTCAAACTACTTTATCTTCTTACTCACATCTCTTACAGAATTTTCCTTTCTTTCTTAGAGTTTAACAACTCTTTTCTGGATGCATTGGGCTCAGATGAGGATTCTGGAAATGAGGACATTTTTGATATGGAATACACAGAAGCTGAAGCTGAGGAACTGAAAAGAAATGCTGAGGTAATGTTTTATCCCTGAGTAGAACTGGTCACATCACCAGTGCTTCTTCTGCTCTTGAAAGAGCCCGGGTGGTGTTCTTTCAGCAGCCTTCAAGTAGCCTTCATTGTCTCTTATCCTTTGGTTTTCATTTCTTACCTATAAGATTCAGAACAAAACAAAAATACATCCTGGGCATCCTGTAGGACCCTGAATATGCATATGAGTAGAAACAGTATACATTAAATTACCTTTAGTTTCACCACGTAACTGTATTATCTTTATAGTGAAAACTGTTGATTATGTAACTAGAGCACATTGGTCCATTTTTTACCTCTTTCCTTAAATAATTGCCTTTTTCCTGCTCTGTGTGTCTGTGTGTGTACATTGGGTGTTTGTTTTGTTTTGTGTGTGGTATTGGGGATTAAACTCAGGACCTTCTCCTTGCAAGGCGAGTGCAATGCCACTGAGCTAAATCCCCGGCCCTTGGTCGTGGTTGTTTGAGATAGGGTCTCACTGTGCAGTCCTGGCTGGCTTTCAAGTTGCAGCAACCCTCCTGCCTCAGCTTCCTGAATGCTGAGATTGCAAGCATGTGCCACCGCACCTGGCTTCCTACAAATTGTTAATTATTCAGAACTAACACAACTATAACTATTATTAGCATTTTGACCTATATTTTTGGCATTCTCAACTCCACATAGGCTTAAAAATGTCATAATATAAGTGAAGTTTTTAATGCTGCTTGTTGGCTAAACTCCACTGAAATGAACCATACTATTTATTTTTAGCTAACACGGAGTATTAAAATTGTCAATTTTTCATCATAATTATTTTCTATATTTTAGATTTTCTTTTAAATCTCCAGAAATAAATTACTATGCCAAAATTTATGAAGTTTGATTTACATGGAGCTGTATTGCTTCACAAATTTCTTTTATTTTTTTTTTTTTTGTACCGGGGATTGAACTCTGGTCCTTGCACTTGCAAGGCAGGCCACCGAACCACTGAGCTAAATCCCCGGCCCCTTCCTTCACAAATTTTTACCCTACTGTGCGTCCTGCACTGCATGAATATCAATTTGCATTTTTGTTTTTTACTGGCATTATTTAATAACATTTAAAATATATAAAATATGAAAGTTCACCTATAATCCCTATAGCAACACAAATTTTTAAAATTTTTTTTGTCCAGTACCTGGACAAAATGTCAACATAACTACTTTTGAAGAGCTGTAGTTATTATGTAAATTCACATGGGTTTGAAAAACAAGTTAACATGTAGTATCTCCAAGTAATTTGTTTTGTTTTTTGGGGGGTTTTTTGGTTTTGGTTTTTGGTATTTTTGGTACTGGGGATCAAACTCAGGACTTTGTTATTGCAAGGCAGGAGCAGCACTACTGAGCTAAATCCCCAGCCCTTTTGCTTTTTTTGAGTCAGGGTCTCACCATGTAGTTCAGGCTAGTCTCAAACTCATGGTAATCCTCCTACCTCAGCATCTACGTCTGAGATTACAAGCATGCCCCTCCATTCCAGCAGAGTAGTTTTTTATTTTATTTTTTTTCACTGGAGTTATTGGTACTTTTTAAGTATACAGTACAGTTACATTTATCATTGGGATCTTGTACCTTTACATGACAGATCTTGGTTCTCATTTTTTCTTCTTTTTCCATATCTTTTCTTCTTTTTAGTCTCTTCTCTCTCTTTTTTTTTAAACAGGAATCGAACTCAAAGGCCTTGAGTTTGCCAGGCGGGTGTTGCACCGCTGAACTACATCCCTGGCTCCTTTCTTCTTTCAAATTATTTCATTAGAATAAATTCTTAGTTGGGGGTGAATTCTTGGGCCAAAAGGTATGAACAGTATAACCACTGAATCTTGTTTTTGAGTCTTTGTAAACTAGTGCCCTGTCCTGTATGCAGGACATAGCATTTCTGTGTCTTCTTCTTTTCCTCTCCTTTTCTTTCTTCTACTTTTTCTCTTATTTTCCTCAATAAATGTTACGCTGTTATGCTCAAAATAAATAAACCCTGCACTGAGGCTCAGCTGTGTCAACTTTGATAATAATTCAAATCCAGTGTTTTGCTTTTATTCAAATGAGAAGTTATACCCACTTCTGTTTTTTAGACTGGGACTCTCCCTCATTCCTATCGGCTTATCAGTGTCGTCAGTCATATTGGCAGCACCTCTTCTTCAGGTAAATGGTTATCACTTGCCCCTTGTTATGTTGCTCTTTGCTTGGCTTTGTAAGGTTTAAGTTGAATACATGAAGAGAAACTTAAAGCTTGATTGCTCCCAATGTGAATTGTATTAATAGGTGTAACTAACTGCTTATTGCAGGTCATTACATTAGTGATGTGTATGACATTAAGAAGCAAGCATGGTTCACTTACAATGACCTGGAAGTATCTAAAATCCAAGAGACTGCTGTGCAGACTGATCGAGATCGGAGTGGTTACATCTTCTTTTATATGCACAAGTAAGAAACTTGGCCTGATACCAAGTAACTGGCTAAAACTTACCTATATTCTTCTTTGAGAATGAAATATCCCCACATTACTTGATTGGTTGACCATTTTTTGGTTTTGTGTTTTTTGTTTTTGGTACCAGGGATTGAAGTTAGGACCTTGTGCTTGCGTGGCAGGCATAGGCACCACTGAGCTAATTCCTTGGCCCTACAATTTTTGGTTTTTATTGTTTTTTACTTAATACTTACATAATTCCTTGTAAGTCTGGATTTTCTCAACTCAGCATTAACTATTCATTGCACAATATTATGTAGGTATAGAACTTAATACTGTTTTATGATAGAAGATACTCTATCAAACTTTTATGGTCTTCCAGGTTTTTTGTTTTTGTTTTGAGACAGGGTCCTGCCATGTAATTTAGGCTAGTTTTAAATTCCATTTATAGCCCACACTGTCCTTGACCTCTTGCCTCAGCCCTCATCCTCCCGTGCATTGAGATTGTAAATATGTGCCACCATGCCTGGTTTGGCCTTTTTGTTCTGTCAGCTAGATCTGATTGGTATGAATGGGAACTATATAGCATTTTTATTGCTGGTTCGCCTCATTCTCAAAAATTATTATTTTGAGGAATTTAAGATGGTGATGGAATAAACGAGGTACTTATTAGCAAAATTTAGGTATCAAATGGGGTTGTATAAACTTTATCAATATTTCCTGTTGCTTTTTCTCCTGTCTGTTCTTTGGTTCTATTCACTGAATTTCCCATTATATTTTTTGTTTTATTTTAAGGGAAATCTTTGATGAGCTGCTAGAAACAGAAAAGAACTCTCAGGCACTTAGCATGGAAGCAGGGAAGACTGCCCGTCCAACCTCATGAGGAAGTCTCCTGTGTTGGTAGTGTGCACTGCATTTTCTCTCTCACTGCCACTAATGTCACCTTTCCTCTGCCCAAGGAGAATTTGAAATTCTACTTGATGCGGGAGCAACAAACAGCTCAGGGCCAAACCAAAAGACAAAATTGCAGTTATGTGGAATAATCCATGCTATTTTATGGACACCTTGGTCTCATCTGTAGCTGATTATCCTCTTTTTCTCCTACAAAAGTGGTACTTCATTTTGTCTTATGAGTACATGTTGTAAATATATATATATAGATAGATATATAGATAAACACACACACACACACACACACACACAGGATGAATGAAGCCTGAAGGAGTTGGGGTGAGCCACAAGAGTATGCCTGCTCAAAAGTAACTGCGTGCTGTACGTGGTGACACACAACTGTAATCTCAACACTTGGGAGGCTGAGGCAGGAGGATCAGCACAAGTTCAAGGCCATCCTGAGTTACATAGTGAGTTCAAGGTCAGCCTGAACTGCATAGCGAGACCCTGTCTCAAAAAAAACAAAAAAATAAAAAATAAATTAAAAAGTAAAGAAGATCAACAGTGAGGAAGTTCAGAGAAGAAATAAAAGTGTCAGAATCCATTCACCTGAAAAGTGTGTGAAGATACAGAAATCAGTTGGCTTTTTGTTTTTTTATGTTATGCTTTATTTAAATCTGTGACCTTTCATATGTGTTTCTTATTAGTAAAATTCACTGGAAAGCCAGCTCTCTGAGTTACACTAATGACTGACGGTTTATCCTCCTTGCAAGAGGCATTTTTGTTGCCTGACTTGAGCTTTTTGTTTTTTAATTGTCTTTTAAATTTCATGAATCTGTCGTGCCTTTGCTGTTTACATGCAGTTTCCAAGAAATGGATTGTTGGTGCTTTAGAATGTGTTACAGTCCTATCTTTGGTATTCATTGTACACCTCAAATTTTTCTCTATAGAAATTCCTTCACACACTTTGTTCATGCTATTCATCTTTATTATTGTGATGGTGAAGTTAGAATCTTTTATTTTCTTCTGTATTATTTGTATCGTGGAGCAGGCTCGACCCTAATGTGTTGTAACTGAAATTTAAACAGGTAGAAAGATAATATTGTTCCAACTGGGACTCCCCAGGAGGGATTCTTAGGGAGAAGGAAGAACGCTAATATCTCTGCCTCCCTGGCAGAGAGAGGTCAAGAGGTGTGCTGCTGTGTTACAGCTCCAACCCCGGACCACTGAAGCCAAAAATCCTGCCGCACATGTGAAATGAACTACATGAGCTGTATGGGAAAACTTGAGCATTTAATTACTTACTGTCTTGCTTTACCCTTAAAACAGGGTGAGAATTAAAATGTGACTGATTTAGGTAATCTCAAGAACTAACAAATAACAGGTGCATGGTATATTTGTTTCTAGGTGCTCTGAGTTGAGGCTGAGTGGGGTGCAGGATCAAGTGCCGCCTTAATCACTTGGACAGCATACCCAGCTTAGGTCAGCAGCTTCACCAGCCTTGGAAAGGCTGTGAGGGTGGGGCTCTGTGAGCCCAGGTGTTAGGATCACACAGTTAAATATAGCAAAATGAAACCTTCACTTTCTTCTGTTTTTTTCTTGTTTTTATTATAGATGAGGGGATTACTCTTCAGTTCTGAGGTAAAAACGAAACACATCAGGTTTTCAGGGGGAGAAAACATGTTAAAACTCATTATCCCGGAAGATAACAGCATATTTTCTGGAAGATTGCCTTCAGAGAGCTCCAGGCCCACTCTGGAGAGTTGGTTGTGTTGTGACTTAGTCACCTATTCTAAATTTTGGACCTCTGAATTGCAAATGACCTAAGCACTTTTGCTTAACTACTGATAAATGCTTTGCCTCCTGCCACCGACCAGCACACATCGAGGCGAATGTTCCAAAATGGTGCAGTGATACTTCTGTAGGAGTAAGAGCAGAGGAAAATATTTGTTTTATTTTTTAAAAAGTAGTTTTTAAATTTTTATTTCCTACCAGGAGCTTTGTTACATTTTCAAATACCAGTTTTCTCATAAATAAGTGCAGTAGTTATGAATTCTTCAGTTATTCACAGTCTCTACATTTGAGAGCTCTAAGCTGTTAAAAATGACGGAGCAATACGAAGTGAGGTTTGCAGTAAGACAGAGAAAATCAAAGTTATGCTATAAACAGATGGCCTCGAACAGCTCGGTGGAATTGCTTTCATAGCTTGCATGTGTGTATAGTTTAGAAGAACACTTGGCACAGAAATCTGATTCAGTTTGACCTTCATGTTTTGGGCATAAGTTGTTGAAAATAGATTACTAGAATATATGAGTTAACCTCACTGCTCCTCCTTGCAAATTTGGGACTTGAATTCTACTCTGTCCTTTGGTGTGGGCTTGTGAATCTTCCCCTTCTCCCTTCTCTTCTTTAGCTTACTCCCTCGACTGTAAATGGAGATTTCAGCTAGATTATATTGATAGGGGTTGGGTTTTGTGAGTTTGGTTTTTGTTTTTGTTTTATATTTTTTTTAAGCTGGCTGTATATATTTTTAAATTATAAATAGATAATATATTATTATTATTTTTTGCACAGTGTGATCAGTTTGCCCATTGTTGGAGCTTGGGGCAGTTAGTGAGTTGGGACAAATTAGAAGGAAGGGGAAAATTAGATGGGGACAGAGTACTTCAGTTCCAGGAAGTTTGCACAATAATGAACCTATCAAAAATACCAAATATGTAGTATATTACTTTTAAGTGACTTTGAATTGGAATGTGGTAATAATTAGTTTTGGACACAAACAACCTTTTGATCTTAGTTGAAATTTTTGGAAGAGAAAAATAAATTAAAATGCAAACTTAATTGATTTCTGTCCCCTAATATTATGGGGAATCGGAAAGTTGCATGTGGACAGATGTTGTTATGTTTTAATAGCCAAGACTGTAGGCCTGTAAAAAGATAACTTTCATAGGAATATATTTATATGTGTGTACACACTTTAATTTTGTTTCAGCAGAATGCAATAAGCAAATCCACTAATTGATCTTCTATTTATATTTTTATTCCAAAGCTATTTGTTTACTTGCTGTGCCCTGTTAATTCCAGGCCTAACTTAAATAGTTCAGCAGCAAATATAATAAATGTAAGTGTTTACATTTTAGGAAATATGTAGTGATACTACAGATGCACATGTTAAGCAACACATTTCTTCCTTTTCCTCCATGGTCAAGTGCAAAATTCTCTAAGAAGCTTTACGATTTAGAACCTCTGCAAAAAATAATCTATAAATTTATTCTTACATATTGCAGTTAAAGAGAAAAAAGTTGTAAAACTTGTGACCTCCTGAAAAGGGTACATATTGAAATAAATACAGTGTGGGCCAGAGATTTAACTCAGTGGTTCTGCTGCCTGCCTTGCAAGCGCAAGGACCTGAGTTCAATCCCTGGTACCAAAAAAACCAAAAAAACTGTCATCCACACTCTTCTTGATCCTCTGAAAATGGCGAATGACCCTCCTTAACACCCCCTTCCCCGTTTTGTAATTGATCCCAGAGGTAGACTTTTGCTCTAAATCTGGAACATACCTTGAGCTCCAAGTACATGTGAATCTCATGCATACACAGAAGTTTTTAGGGAAGTCAGCATCCATGCACCAGAAGGATGTTTCCTAAGTTTCCCGGTAAGATGGATATGTATTTTTCCTCCCTGTTTTGCTTTACATCCTGTAACACTCACGTGCAAGTGTGTACAGAATCTAATAGAGTTCTGCCCTCTGTCTTTCTAATCCATTACTTCAAAATTCTGCTTTTGTCTCTTGATACATAAGTCTTAGCAACATCTGAAAAAAATATATTTTATTGAAAAACTATAGTTTGTTAAGCCTTGAGAGTTTTGTGACAATTATTTTGCAGTGTCTCACCACAATGATTGATTCCTTTACGGCATGCTTTGACTGATAACCCAAGCAGTTTCTTTCATTGTATTTATGCACAATTAGTAAATTGTTTCTTTTTTATGTATGCAATATGTCTGAGGTTTTGAAGTTATAATTAAAAGTGTGCCAGTATGAATAAGCATTTAGTGGCCAGACATGATGGCACACGCCTGTAATCCCAGCACTTGGGAGGCTGAGGCAAGAGGATCACCATGAGTTTGAGGCTAACCTGGACTACATAGCAAGACACTGTCCCAAGGAAAAAAAATGTGTTTGATTTTAGCGACACTGGACTAAGTATAGAGGTTCAAGTATAGGTGTGCCCACTGGCATAAGAACAGAGTGGATCAGGATCTACAGTCACTAGGTGAAATGCCAGAACAAAGGAGCGATCAGCCAAATGGTCTGTTACAGAAACAGCACAAAGCCTGCACATGGGTGTGCAATCTTCCTGTCCCAAGATTTCCTCCCTCTGAGGGCTTCCTCCCACCTCAGCTTCCCTGGGCTATTGGTTTCTTTCTTTTTAGGGAGAAGAAAACAGAAGTAAGGTTCCTACACTTGGCCTAACAAGCCACTCCCAGGTTTGCTGGCAGCTTTGGCCACATTATTTGTGCGGTGGTTTTTTAATTTAATTTTTTTTATTTTTATTTTTTGCGTTTTAGTGATGATTCTAGTTTTTGCTGTTGTTTTGTATGGAGTGGCACTTTATCTGTGTTTTAGCAGAACTGTTCCTCTGAATCCTTCGTGGTTTCTCCTTTTTCCTTTATAAATTATACAGAATTTTTTTGTGTGTGAAATTAAAACCTTTATTAACCTGCTGTTGGTTTGATTGTTACTTCTGAAAAGGACACATTCTTGCAGACACCTTTAATTCCAGTTCTGTGGACATCACCTTCGTTGGCTGCCTGGATTCCATGCAGCAGCCTGATGTTAGGCCATCGTTACCACTGAGTACCTATGGTTTTCTTCTGAGGAGTGTGAAGCTTGGCAGAGGCTTCTGGATTACACTGCCCCTGCCTTGTTAGAATGAGACAGAGGGTAAACTATTAGCATTTCATTTCACTTTTTGCTTTGGGCCTCAGGCCTAGAACCAGTGGATGTGCTGTTCTCACTAGGTATTATTTAGTGAGTATCGTGTAACCCAGGAAAGCAATCTCCTAAGCCATTCAACTCCCCAAAGAAGGGGTCCTCTTTAGCTTAGCACCTGAGTAAGGTAGTGAGGAAAGCGTGAGTGAAGCAGAGGCCATTACTGTGGGAAAGATACAAGACTGCTCAATGCTTCAGCTCCCCTGCTGTAGATAAAATGGAGGAGTGGCTCAGAACTGATGTGGGAGCATTGGGCTGCCTCTCTGAGGAGGGGAAGCTTTATAACAAGATTAAAAGGAAGTGATCCCACAAGAAAAACGGTCCTCCCCACTTCAGATCACAGGCTCCCTGGGGAGCATCTTTCTGAAGGAGTGGGTAGATTACTAAACAAAAGCAGCATTGCCACATGCTGCAGCCTCAGGGCCAGCTGGGAATGTTCTCTTCAGTTGGCATAGGTCTAAAACCAGTAATGACGATGAAACCTCGAGAGCAGGGTAGGGTGCTGCTGTACCACCACAACTACTCTTGCTTCTTAAAAAAGTCCCTTTTCTTTCTTGAGGTTTTGTTGCTTCCATCGCGGCAAGGCAGAGAAGGCAGCTGGAGTCATTCCCAAAGCCTTGGTAAAATCTTCAACAGACAGGTGTGCCTAGGAGAGGAAAAGGGCCAGAAGACAAAGGTCACAGTCTTCCCAGGCTTGCGAGGTTGAGTCATACAGGTGTGGCACAGAATCAATCAAATGAAGAGCAAAAGCAAATATTGTGAGAGTCAGGAGAGGGATGAAGAGCAGGGCAAGCGGCACTTGGGAGTTCCACAAAAGGACAATAATAATAATTTAAAAAATGAGCTGCTTTATTTTCTACCAGCGTCAAATTCATGTTAGTTTAGAAATGAGTGTTCCTGCTCTTTAGGCCTTAGTTATCCTCTCCATAAAATGGGAGAAATCTCAAGGACCAATTTTTATTTTTATGAGGATGAAACTACTACATAGAAAAAGGTATTGGTTGCGGGGGGATCTGGGTCATCTACCTTTGCAAATTACAGACCAGCCCACAAAGCCAGCACATGAGCCCCAGGCTAGGGAGTTTACTCAGGGTGGATGGATAAGCTTTCACTGCCACCACAGGACACATGGCTCTAGCTTTGGAGCAACTTGGCAGACCAGCTACAAGGGAAGTAGTCCTAAGTGGTCCTAATGGACAGAGCAAGCGACAATCTTAACAAGTACTACTGAGGTGCTCATGAAGACAGGCAGATCTGAGTACAGTCAGTTCTCTTATCAGTGGGTTCTGCATCCATGGATCAACCAACCAGGTTGAAAATCTTAGGGTAAAAAACTACTAAACATGAACAAATTTTTTCTTGTACTTTCCTAAATAATACAGCATAACAGCTATTTACGTAGCAGTTACATTGTATTATGCATTTTAAGTCATCTAAAGTATACAGGTGACATATGCCTATAATCCCAGCACTCAGGAGGCTGAGGCAGGAGGATCACAATTTCAAGGCCACCCTGGCAAATTCCAGTGTAGCTTGGACTACATAGACCCTGACTCAAAACAGAAGTATATGGGAGGATGAGCAGAAATTATATGCAAGCACTATGCCATTTAACACTTAAGCATTCTTTGGTATCCTGGGGTGCCTTACCACCAGTCCCCCATGGATACTGAGGGCTAACTGTCCTCCTGTTTTCAGATGCTGACGCTAATGCTCAGCTCAAGGAAGTCAAGGTCATTTCATTCCAGCACAGGCTCCCTGCCTTGAGTGGCCTCAGGCACACAGTGCAGAGCTCTTGTCATCTCCCTCCTGGAGCTGCGTGTGCACCGCTGTTTATCGGTGGTGGCATTCATCCCTCCAATCTTTGTATTTGTTCAGGTTTGTTCCTGGCTAACAGGGAACATTGCAAAGCCTCCTCACTCTTCTATTTCATAGTGAATGTAGTTATGTAGGAGCAGGTTTTGCTTAGATGGTGGGAGACCCAAGCCAGGAGAAGGATCCTAAGAGGAGAAGCCAGGAAGGCCAAAGAACAAACGGAGCCAAATCCCCTGCTTTGTTGAGCAGAAAACAAAATATTTGAGTAAATGACGTGCCAGTACCTCTCATTTTGTACATGATCAGAAGACTAGATTGTACAATTTTACCTTTTTGCTCTTAGCTTGAAAATCATAACTGGGAGTCATAACTGTCCAGGCCTTTGGTATTGTGGTTTTTGACCCTAATGTGTCACCTCATTGGTTTAAGAAATGCGTAGCAGATCCAGCACTTGGGAGACTAAGGCAGGAGGATAGCTATGAGTTTGAGGCCAGCCTGTGCTACATAGTGAATTCAAGGCCAACCTGAACTGCATAACAAGTTGTCAGAGAGAGAGAGAGAGCGCAGTGCCTAGCAGGTTAGTAAAGCATGATCTTGGGTGTGTCTGGGTGGGTCATGGAAGTGTTACCTACATCGAGTCCCTTGCCCATTCCTCTAGCGCTGTTCCCATCGGATTCCCAACCACCATGAGCTGAAGAGCTTTGTTTCATCACTCCCTCTGCCTTGGAGCCAGCCGACCATGGACTGAATTCCTTGAAGCCATGAGCCAAATTAAACCTTTCCTCCTTTCGGTTGTGGGTGTCAGGTATTGTGTCTCAGCCACAAGAAAGCTAATATAGGGATCTCCACAAGTCAGAGAATTGTTGACTGAAACCACCTTTGTTCTCAGCTCTAAAGTGGTACTATCATAATGCTGGTTAAGGCAGCTAACTACTCTCCAGGTACACTCAAATAAGGATCCAAATTCAAATAGCTATAAAAACAGCATCTTTCAGCCTTCACCTCCCGCTCCTGCAGGCATGGAGAGGTAGATGGGACAGGGGTGAGCGCAGTGAGCTTCCTTGAAATCTTGGGCTGGCTCCAATGAAGCAGAACTGCCCTCCGGGACATTTATTGACTCCTAGGGAGCCCTGCATTACAGCACTTCTTGGTAAACACTGTGGATAGGTTTCAAGCTCAGGTGGGCCTGATGCCCTGGTTCTTTAGCCTGTCATTAACTTTGCCTCCCTCCCCTGGGCATTCTTTCCTGCAGGCTCCTGAGAGCTAGGTGCTGGGAGCCTTCTCCATCCCCAGCAAGCCAATGCAGACCTTGTTTGGGAAGAAGTGAGTAAACATAAGCACTTTGGGCATTAGCGGATTCCTCACAGCTGTGGCTGTGTCCTACCTAAGTCCCGGCAAGCAGCTGCACAGTGCCTGGCTCTGCCAGGACTCCTGGACTCCGACCCTCCAAGCTAGATAGCAAAGTCTGCCCATCCCAGTGGACTTGTGTCTTTCCGTGGCTCATGCTCTTGAGCTCCATCGTCTTGCCTGCTGATTACCAGCCTCACCCATATCCGCCTCCCTGAGGTTTATCACTGGGACTCAACAGATTATTATCTATCTATTGCCTGTAGCCCAGGCCACCACCCCACTCTTGTCAGCGGTCACCTTCCAAGTTTGGAGCAGCCAGAGAGATATGAAAACCTCTCCTCCCCTCCACCCTTGACATTGAACTCAGCTCTCTCACAAGGAAACACACTACTTCCATGATTTTTTTAAAAAATCAGCTAGCGATAACTGATTGTAAAATCTGAGGCTTCTTCAATTGGGAAACTATTTCTTCAACTGCTTCCAACATAGTGAGCTCTTTAACATTGGCGAACCTTCTCTTTAGAAATACATATGTCCTTTTTGCAACATAACAAGATGGTAAAAGTGCAATGAAGAAAAAAAAAAGATGGTAAAAGTGGCCCTCAGAAAACTTGAATTGTTGTTGTTGTTGTCATCATAATTTTTGAGACAGGGTCTCGCTATGTATTCTAGGTTGGCCTTGAACTTGCTGTGTAGCCCAGGATTGCCTTGTGGAAATCCTGCTGTGTTAGCCTCCTGAGTGCAGGATTACAGGCATGTATCACCACACCCAGCTAGAATTCTCATTCTGGCTTTCCAGCTAGCTAGTTAACATCAAGCAAACCACTTCCCCTCCAGCTGGACCTGCTTTCTTGGATACAGAACAGGCAGTAACAGCTTTCATTAATAGAGCACTTTATGTACCAGGGCCTATGATACAGTGAGGACATAGGTGACTTCTAGCCTCCCAGCCACCACACAGATGGGAGAATCCAAGAGAGAACACAGGACATTGTCCTCCAAGCAGTGGTAGAGCATTGCCTAGCACATTGCCTGGCATGCATGAGGGCCTGGGTTCAATCTCTCCAGAGAGAGGAGGGAGGGGAGGTGGGGGGGAAGGGAGTGGGGGGATGGAGAAAAAGAGATTTTGAGGAGCTCTTCCTGCTGTGCTACTCCTGCCAGACCTCCCCTGCACTGCCAGTACCAGCTGAACCATGTGCTGAGTTGTGGGCTCCATCTCTGCCCCAGGTCCTCTGAATTGGCCCCCACCCTAATGTGCATCTCAATCTGGATGACTTCTGGGTGCCTCAAAGGACAATGCTGTAACACAGCATGACAGGGACCAGCTCTGCTACTGCCTCTCCTTCTGACTGCTCTTGCCACCTTCCGGTCTATTCTTCACTGAGCAGCCAGACTGCTATTTTATTTCTACTAGGGATTGAACTCAGGGCCTTCACATTGAGCTACACTCCAAGCACTCTTTAAAAATTTGTTATTTTGCAACAAGGTCTTACTAAGTCACTAAGTTCCCCAGGCTGGTTGCAAATTTGCTGTCCTTTTGCCTCAGCCTGGAAGAGTACTGCTCCCTGGCTTAGAGACATCTTTTCAAAATGTAAATCTCAACTGGACATGGTGATGCATGCCTGTCATCCCAGTATTCTGGGAGGCTGAGGCAGGAACATCCCATGTTCAAGCCTAGGACATTGTGGAATACTTAGCAAGGCCTTGTCTAAAATAATCAATCGATCAATCCTATTCACACTTCAGAGGAAAATGTCTGACTAAATCAGGCTCCTTTTTATAATACTTCCCATGGCCCTTGTACCTTATCTTGGTGACACAGCACTGAAATGATCAGTGTGTTCAGGCTTCTCTGATCTCTGTCACCCAGGGACATAAACTGGCAGAAAAGTGGGACAGGTCTGTCTAGTTCACCAGGGTGTCCCCTGGCATCCAGTGCCCTGTGGGGGTCATTTAGGTTGTCTAACAAAAAGACAAGCCAGATCTTCAGGGGCTGTCAGAGGGCCTCACCCACCTCCTTCCTGCTGGGGTCCACGCCCTCGGGGAGCTCCTCCACAGGCTTGTTTACCAGCTGCTCCAGGGGGAAGATGGGCAGAGGCCCAGAAGTGAAGCTGGTTTTGGTGGTGAACACATCCACTTTGGGGTTTGTGATCTCCTAGGGAAGGAAAGGAAGCCACTAGTTAGAGTACCACCTTCAGGAAGACTTCCATGGCCTGGCCCAGCCTGCCACACCACACAAACACACACACACACACAGACACACACACACACACACACACTCTCCTCATAAGAACACATTACCTGGATTGGACCCCACAGCTACACCAGCTTAGGGCTTTGTACCTGACCAAAGTGTCACTTGGGACAGGATGACTTTTATTCAATGACTTACTAACCTCTTCACTGCCCCCTCCAGGGTTTGAGATCTACCCTCTCTCTCTTATCCATTGTGATATTGTCACTTGGCCCTCACCTATCTGTCCTCTCCAGTCAGCCTCATTGGCCTAGCAAGAGAGGAATGGCGAGCACACTGGGCTTCTCAGCCTCTGGGTGCAGGGCCTGTGAGTGTTGACTGCCCCACACGCCAGGGAAATTGTTTTCAGGCCCTCTATGCAGTTCTGCAGAGTTGCCTCTGTCTTGTCTCCGCTGTGAGCTCACAAATTTCTAGAAGGAAAGGCTTGATTTCATATTCCCATACCCCAGGCCTATGGGCTCAATAAGCTTCTGCTAACTAATGGAAAGATCAGAGGAGGTTCAAGTGTTCTGCTTAGAGCAGGCCTCCCAAGAGTGAGGGTGTGGAGAAGCATCACTAGTTCTCAAAATGCAATTCTTAAAAGGTGGCACTGGGGATTGAACCCAGGGACTTCATGCTGAGCTACATTCCCAGTCCTTTTTCTTATTATTTTGAGACTTAATATTAAGTCACCAAGTTGTTGGGCCCTTTATTTAAAACATACAGATTCCTGCATGCAGAGCCAAACTCTATAAACCATAATACTTGGGAGTCTTGAAATCTGTGTTTTAATATGTTGTCCCATCGTCCAGATGTCTCTGCATAATAAAAATCAGAAACTGGGGCTGGGGGATGTAGCTCAGTGGTACAGAACTTGCCTAGCATACATGAGGGCCTACGTTTGATCCCCAGTATGGTGAAAAATATTGAAAACTATTTGACTAGGAAATGGAAGGCAAAACAGCTAGACACATTGGAGTTAAACAGCAAGAAAAACTTCTGTAAGAAGTGAAAGGAGACAGGAAGGAAGCACAGGACATTGGTGTTTTCTATGGGACATTCTTGGCTCTGACGGCCCCCCAGCTACTTGGGGCCCAGCCGCCCTACTCTGTACTCACAGCAGTGATCTGGCTCCAGTCCTCAGAATTTCCAAGCTCCATCTTCTGGTCCTCATAGGATTTGGCATTCTGTGTATAAAGTAAATAACAGATCAGACCTGAATCTCAGCAGGGGAGACAAAAGGCCATTTTCCTTCAAGAGTTGAAGGACTTGGGTCCAGGCCCTGGTGGCGAGAAGGGGAAAAGCAAGCCTCAGGCTGAGGCTGGAGGAGGCCTCTGGAAAGGTTAGACTCAGGGATGGCTGCGCATTTGTTTGTCCTGGCTCTACTTGCTATAGGATGGAGAGGTCTGGGCAAGCAGCCACAGGCAGCACTGAGAACCCTTCTGCACTGAGAGCTCTAGAGGGCTCAGGGGTCCTGGGGTACAGGAAAGGAGCCCTGCCACAGAGGAGGACAGGCAGCGGAAGAGGCCTCCTTGCAGCCCACCTCCAGTGCCTGGCACCTACAAATGCAAGCCCTGTCAGGGGAACAGAGGAAGACCCAGGTGGAGGGAGGCCCTGGCCTGGTGGCCCTAGGGGCTGTAAATTATATAACAGACGAGTTTAGGGACACAGAGAGCTCAAATATGATGTGTGTGTGTGTGTGCATGTATGTGTATTCAAAGACTTCCGAGCTGATAATCGGAGTTTAACCTTGAGGATGGATCCCAGCAAACTGCAAAACAGTAAATCCCAATGCCAGAGCTTCTCGGAGCTCCATGCCTGGCAGCAGCCCTTCCGTCACCCTGAGTCTGTACTGGTTCCTTCTTCAGCTCATTCCTTCATTCATTCACTCAGCATGGCATCAGGGAGATCCTGACACCACCCAGAGTGCTGGGATGATGGGTGTTTGCCACCATATCCGGCTTTTCTGTCCTTCAGAAGCAACATGTTTCCTGTCAGCACGGTCTCGGAAAAGTTTCTGTGGTGATGGGAATATTCTCTACCTACACTTTCCAACATGGCAGCCACTAGCCACAGGGGGCTACTGAGCACTTGAATTATGGCTAGCAGCAGTCTAGGAAGCTGAGGCAGGAGGATCATACAAGTTCAAGCTCAGCCTGGGCAACTCAGCAACTTAGCAAGACAGTCTCAAAATAAAAAATAATAAAGGGCGACAGATATAGCTCAGTATAAAAGCCCTGGATTCAATCATCCTCTACTGGAAAAAAAATGTGGCTAACAAAGTGACTATTGAAGAATTCTAATTAATCTTTTTTGACAGGGTCTCACTATGTAGTCCAGATTGGCCTCAAATTTGCTATGCTGCCCTGGCTGGCCTCAAAATCTCCATCCTCTTGTTTCTGCCTCTAGTGTGCTGGGATTACAGTATAAGCCACCATGCCTAGCTGAATTAATAAAAAAATATGGCTTTTATCTGTAAGATATATGACCCTTGCCTATCATATACAGCAGCTTGGCTCTAAATATAGAATACAAACCAGACACTACAGTTAGCCTTGGGGTTTTGTTTTATTTTTTGCAGTACTGAGGAGCGAACCTACCACCTTCACACTGAACTACATTTGCAGCCCTTTCTTATTTTTAATTTTGAGATAATATCTTGCTAAGTCACCAAATTGCCCAGGCTGGGTTGAACTTGCAATCTTCCTGCCTGTACTGGGATTACAGGTAGTGTAAACAACCAGTTTAATTAAAAAAAAAAAAAAAAAGCTTCCTTTCCTCTCCCTCATCAGGGGCCTTACTGGCCCTAGTTTTTACTCTAAGCTCCATATGACCCTTTTACAAATAAGCAGGTCATGTATCCCAAAGGAACAGAAAGGCTTGCAGGAGTCCAGCCGCCCTCTAGGCTGTGTCTTGAAGAGGGCAGCTTTGCGGTGGATATGGTGAGCTGTGAGGACCAGGCTGGGTTGGGGCCACTCACACTCCATTTGAAGGGATCCCAAGCCAGGAACCAGCCTGTGAAGGTGGGGGGCTCATGTTCTTGCTTCACCACGATGATGGGGGTGTTGAGGTCGCGGCCGCTGGGATGGGTTTTGATGTACTCCTGCACAGTGGTGGCCGCAGCCCTCTTCTCCTCCTCATTGGAATTCTTCCCTATCCAGAAGAAGATCTGTGGAGAGTCCCAGCAGTCAGGCCTTCCTCTCCTCTCTGGTCCACAGGGCTCTGGCTCAGTTTACCCCAGATGTCCACTAGTAGAGCCCTGACCCTGCCACTACCCAGCTAAATGACCGTAGCTCCATCCTGCCCTGCAGCCCCTCTGGGTACAATACCCTTCTTCCTCGTTTGCTTCAGTTCCTGCTGTTCATCATTCCATTTCAAGAAAACTCTAATGCTTCCTGAATCCAGCAGCCTCTGGGACTTTTTGGCCCTGGGGATCAAGGTGGGTGGGAAGGGCAGTTCCCAGGCCCTCGATCCTACCTGGTCCCACACATCCAGCAGAAACACATCATCCTCCTCCAGGTCATCCTGATTGAAGTCAGGGATCTCCGTGGCCAGGAAGCGCCCGGTCTGGTTGGAGCATTCAAAGAGCCGAGGGGAGATGACCATGTTTTCCTCCTGCAGTCTGCAGGGTGGAGGGAAGACCATGTTGGTAGGAGGAGCTGGGGGAAGGAGGCTCAAGGACAAGAACTCTGAGGGACTCAGGCATGGAAAGGCCTCACCAGATGCCCCAGCTTATGATAGACAAAAGGGTCCCCTCCTGTCCTGAGAGTAAATCCCCACTGCTTTTCTGAACATGAACATGCATTTCATAGCCCTGGTAGGAAGTTCTCCTCTATCTTCCCTTTATCGCTCCTCGTGTGGATCATAGACATTCTGTAGACAAAACACTTGCTTTTGTTTTTTGTTTTGTTTTGTTGATACTGGAGATCAAACTCGGGACCTTGCACTTGCAAGGCAGGTGTAGGCACCACTGAGCTAAATCCCTGGCTTGCTTTTGTTTTGGGTTTGTTTTTGCTTTTTTTTTTTTTTTCCTTTGGTTTTGGGGATGAACTCAGGGCCTTGCACAGGCTAAGCAAGCATTCTACTACTGAGCTACATCCCAGCCCCAAAACCCATTTGAAGGAGGTTTATGGCTGGTTCTTCTCAATATCCCAGGCCTATGCCAGCACTGAAGGGCAGAGCTGGGCTCTGGCACCTTCTTCCTCAAGGGCAAATAGTCACCCCTGCCAACTCCTAAGCTAGGAGCTCCTGCCAATGCCTTTTGCCAAGAAAGCTACCCCAACCCTGGGCCTGGGCATCCCTTAGTGAGCAGTGTGGTCACAGCACCGTGCCCCAAAGACTCCAAGGCCATTGGCTGCCCCCTGTCCTTCCTGTCACCCTGGGGGCCTGGTATACCAACCCCTCTGTCCACACCTGTTGTAGGCTCTGAGGACGGGGCTTGGACACTGGCAGGCCCTTCTGTGTCAGGGCATGAGCCGGAGGTGGGAGCCTGCAGTTACCTCTTGGCGTTGGCATAGGGGGCCTTTCCGCCCAGCGCCATCCAGAAGTTGGCTGGCTCCTGCCCCTCTACCACCACTTGCTTCTCCGTTGGGGAGATGGTGTCAGCCACCATCTTGGCCATCTCCCGCTCATCCCCGCTACAGCCCTGGGCAGAGAGTGGGGTCAGCTGTGCTGGGGGAGACTCTTGGTCCCACCCCTCCCCACCCTTCTACGGGTCCCCTGCCCGGAGCTCTGGGGTGTGAGAGAGCTCTCCTGGGTTGGGGCCCCTGTGCACACGGTCAACAGCAGAGGAGACAGGAAGTCTGCAGAGGGTTAGAGAAGGATTGCAAAAGGTGATGGGTCTCCACTACAGAGACAACAGTGGAGATAACTGACAGGTGCAGCTGCTGAGAGAGCCCAAGACAGACCTAAGGGGACCTGTGACAAATAGAACAAGAGTCTGGTTCTGACACCAAGGCAGAGGACCTAGGAATGCTCAGAGGTGGGGCAGAGAGGGAGATAGCTACGAGGCATCTGGGGACGCAGTGAGTGTGAGCTGGTGGGCCAGGACTCCTGCCCCAAGCCTGTCTGCTGTGACGGCCAAGGCCTCCCCACCCTCTGATCCCTGTGCACACCTTCCCACACCACAGGTAGCAGCAGGATGGGGTCTTGAGGACATAGACATCATTGGAGTTGAGGGAGGCAGCCCGGGCTGGGACCTCAAAGGCCTTGGTGTTGTTGGCGCTTGTTCCCCGGACCTGGAACAGCCGTGTGGAGGGCACAGGCTCCAATTTGTTAGCTCGGGAGGTGCCTCCCTGCAGGTGGCACAGGGCAGGAAGACAGAGGCATGAGCGACTTGGTAAATATGACAGTGGGGGGTGGGGCACAGAGAAAGAAAGGTGGGTGAGGTCTTCCCACCCCTCCAGCTCCTCTGACACATCGTAGCCAGGCTAATCTTTCCAAAGCTGGCTTTGATCCTGGCACTGCTCTGCTGAGAACCTCTTGGTGCGCTCCACTGCTTTGAGAATAAAACCAGCTCCTCAGTGGGGCCTGTGCAGATCCCAGGGATGGAGATGCCAGCTGCCTTTGCCGCCTTGCTCCGTATCCGAAGCCTGGGGGTGCTTTGGCCAAGCTTCTCATTGTCCCCCGCAGGCCTTTCCCCTGCACCTGCCTTGGGCCCTGATGGCCCCCCTACACTGCAAGCCCTTGCTTGATCCCCGCCAAGCTCTTCAACTCTGCCCCAGACATCCAGACCTCCTGCAGACCCCCTTGAACTCTATGTCCAGTCCCAGATGACTGTTGCCCTGTCCCGCTTTGAACACAAGCACAAGGCTGTCCTCTCCCGAGTCCATGGTAGGAGCCTGCCACTCCTGTCCTTGTTTGGTGCGTTTCAAAGGACTGTGTACTTAGAAGGTGCTCAATAAGCAGATTATTGCTTAAACAGCTGCATGAGGTGTCTATTTCATTTTGTTGGAAGGCACCAGCACAGTTTGGACAGGTGCATCATTTCGGCAAACTGAGCATAAAACCTTTTTCATGTAGAGGATTCAAGGAGTCAGAGCGCAGAGGGTGAACAGTACCTGCCCTTCAGGGCTCATTATGGATTTTTCTTTTTTTTTCCTCTCTCTCTTTTTTCCTTCCTTCCTTTTTTCTTGAAGATGGACCCCAGGGCCTTTACATTGAGCTTAATTCCTAACTCTTTAAAAAGAATTTTTAAAAGCTGGGCATGGGGGCACATACCTATAATCCCAGCTCTAAGAAGGCTGAGGCAGGAGGAGCACAGCAAGTTCGAGGACAGCCTGTGCTATACAGTGAGTGCAAGGCCACCCTGAACTACGTACACAGCAAGATTCTATCTCAAAAATAGACCCCCCCAAATATATATATTTAAATGTTTGAGTCACTAAGTTGCTGAGTTGCTTAGGCTGGCCTCAGACTTGCCATCCTCAGCCTTCTAGACAACTGGGAGTATAGTTGTATACCACCACTCAGGCCATTGTGTATTTTTCTAAACTAAGTAAGTGATTATTTTTCTTACCATTTCCACACCGTTGACAGAGCCTTGAAGGGTCCTCTTCTACGAGGAATGGGCTCCACCCTGCACCCTCTCCCCATACCCACCTCCCTGTCTCATGGATGCTCAAACTTGCCCCAGCCCAGCAGCCACACCTGGTAGACCACCATGCGTCCCTTGAAGATGGACATGAGGTGGGGTGGCTCCTTGCCCATGGGGACGTGGATTTGGACTGGTTCATCGTTATACTTCTGGTCCAAGAAAACAGCTTGATAGGCCGAGGCTGCAATTTCATCCTGGCTGGCCTGGCTGCCCTGGGGATGAGCAGGAAGGAATGAATAGGGTGGAGCCAGCCTCAGTGACAACTCTGTCCCCAATTCTGACCTGGCCCCAGACCAACAGGCCTCCCCACCAGCCCCCAACCCAACCTAACTTCAACCTCAGTTTCAACCCCAGCCCTGACCCAGCTCAACCCCAGCCTTGATCCCCAACTTGCCCTTCTCCTCATTGGTCCTTGCTCTGGAAAAGACCATACCACTCACCCCCCACAAGCGCCCAAGTATCTCCCAGCTCCCTCTGGATTACAGGACCCTCAGGCAGAGCAAGGGAAGGGAATGTGCAGCGTGATGGGGACTGGCAGGGAGCCTTAGAAAAGGGTGGTGAATGGGGACACTCCGTGGGATCTCACAGCCAAAGCTGCCACAAGATGGAATGGGCTGCCTCTGTAGGGGGTGAGCTCTCCATCACCAGGGCTATTCAACCCAAGCAGGATAGCAGGTGCATGGTAGAGAGCAGCAGAGCTGGCTGGGATTGTGTGGGATGAGATGGAGCCTGACCTGCCAGATGTACAGCAGGTAGTGCTGCTTCTCGCCGATGAGGTAGGTGTACAGCAGCAGGTAGCAGTCACCTCCATAGAAGTGGCCTACCCACTTGGATTCCACAGGCACCAGCTCCAGGTCCTCAATGCGCCACACCTGGGGCCAGTATGAGATCAGTGTGGAGGCCAGGCTGGCCTCCATTACCCCTTCTCCACCCATCATCGGCCCCCTCGTGCACCTACCTGCACCTCCCCGCTCCCGTCATCCACCATCTTCTGCTGGGCAGCCACCTGGGGCTGCACATGCATGGATGTGGCATCAAACTTCACTTGCTCCACCTTGGCTGCCGTGGGGGGAAATCATGACACCAGCTCTCACCAACTGAGGTCCCCCAGGTCCTTACAACAGCCCTGGGTGGTGACTACAGTTGTTAGACCATTTTATAGATGAGGAAACTGAGGCTAGAAGAGATTCAGTGCTCACCCAAATTTGTAAAAATAGAGAACAGCAGAGCTACAGCACAGAATCACATCCCCATGACTGTAAAATATCTGCTTCATCAAAGCCTCCCAGAGAAGCCAGGGGGCAAAAAAGGGGACAAGAACAAGGTTTTAGCTTTGTTGATCTACCCGTCTGGAGCCCTGCAGCATTCAGAAGTCAAGCGTTGACCTTGTCTTTCAGCTCAACAGGGAGCTCTGCTGTGATGGGAGCTGTGCTCTCCCTTCAACCTCCCCCCAATTCTGAGCCCAGCTCTGAGCTTGGCTTCAGCAAATATTGTCTACAGAAGCTGTTTGGCTCCCAGGGAGGCCCAAACCTATTACAAAGGAAAGGCAGATCATTCTTAGCTCCCTCTGTGTGGTACTCAAGTTTATGCATGTTACCCAGGGTCTACACCCCACCAGGAAGAGCTCTAAGCCAGGGAAAGTGTGCCTGGAAGCGACCCACCAGGGAAGGAAGGTGGGAGGCAGGGAATTCCTCTACTGGCCCAGCTCCTTGTTCTGGACTCCCTCTCTGCCCCAATCTAGCCCTCACCCACAGAGCCCACAGTGTGGGTTTTGCCGAGGCCTGAGGTCCGATTGGGCACAGTCCACTTCTGGAAGAGCTGCTGGAAGACAGCTGACTCCGCCCCATCATTCTGCACCTCCACCTGTGTGCTCTCTGGGTACTGCTTGGCTTTGATGAAATTCTGGGAAGGGAAAGGAAGGGAAGGGGAGAGGAGAGGTGGCAGGGGGAGTAGTGGGCTGGCTGGATGCCATGTTCCTCCTCAACCCCAATTCCAGTGCAAGCCAAAGCCTAGATCTCATTCCAGCCAGACCCACCATCAAACCTACCCCTGGCCTCGATCCCAATGCTAACTCCAAACCTAACCTTACTGTCATCCCAACTTCAAGGTCAAACCTGAAACCACCTCAAGGCTCATTCTGACCTTAACCCTGAACCTAATACAGTGCTACCTCGGTTCACAAATTTAATTCTTTCCACAATTCTGGTTACAAACCAAATGGGACAAGAACCAAATTCATTGTTAGGGTTCAATGCTGACCTTATAGGGAAGCTTGACTTAGTTTTTATCCAATTCGACAGCGACTAGAATCACGGAAAGAATGAAGTTCGTGATCAGAAGCACCACTATAATGACCCCAAACTTAACTCTGATCCCAACCACAAGGCCAAATCTGACCCCTAGTTTGACCCCACCTCCCCTCTAACCTTAACACTCAATCCCCTACTCTAACTCTGAACCCATCCTCCAATCCAACACCCACCCCAAGCCTGTTGGGTTACTAACTCCAGCTCCAGCAATCACCACAGACTCTGACTTGGCCCTGGCCTTGAGTTGACCCATTTCCCTTTTTGTAGTACTGGGAATTAAACCCAGAGCCTTCACACTGAGCTACATGTGCAGCCCTTTTTTATTTTTATTTTTTATTGGAGACACAGTCTCAAGTCGCTGAATTGCCCCGGCTGGGCTTGAACTACTTGCAATCCCCTGCCTCACTGAGCTATCCTGTTCCCTCTCTAAACCAACCTTGAGCATGGGTAGGTGACAGCTCAGATCCTGAGGAGGCCCCAGGTCACCTGGTCATTGGCTTTCTGGTATGCAAAGAACTCCTCAAGATGACTACACAATGTCCCCTCAGCCCTAATAGCTGGGTGGAACCAGCCCCGAGTCCTGTCCTTGTAGAATCTTCCCTGGTAAGGGCCATTAGCCTCCCACTGCTATCTGCATGTTCCTGACCCTCCTTCCCAACCCCTGTCCCTACCAAGGCCTGATTCATGGCTTCCTTCCTCTCCTGTGCATTGGCATTCTTCCCCTTCCACACAAAGATCTTCTGGCCCCCCTGGTCCAGGATGAAACAGTCCTAAAGTCAGGAGAGAAAACCCAGCTGAGAGCCTCATGGTGAGGGGGACGCTGGGCTAGGCCAGCCTTCCCTCCCATGCCTGTCCCAGAACCCTGAAGTTCTTCCTGCTTGGCGAGAGGCAGACCAGGCTGTTTGAAGCCGGGTATCCTCCAGCCCTCTCACCTCATGGCTGAGGAGGTCCTGTGTGAGTGGCCGTGTGGCAACTTCCCTAACCACCATCTTTCCCTCTGAGTCAGACACACTGCAGGATAAAGTGAGGCATAGATGGGAGGGCCCAAGCCCTCAGCCAGGGCACCTTGCCCACCCTGGAAGTCCCTAGCACCCAGGAAGAGCTCAGGCAGTGCTCACTGGTACAACTTGAGGGCGGCCTTGAGTGCGGGCTCCACCACTGTGTCTGGGATGGCTGCCTTCAGCTCTGTGCGCTTGCCGAGCACGTAGTTCATCACCTCCATCAGCTGCGGGCTGTCCTCCTCGTTCTCCCCCTCTACCACACCCACATGGGTGCGCCCACCGCGCTCCTGGTCTCGGATCTCCTTGGCCAGGGTCATACCCTGCAGAAAGGCCAAGGTGACCCACGAAGGCTGGCAGGGAGCAACGCAGCGTCCACCAGCCCCAAACCCTGCCAGGCAAGCCCCTGGCCACCCCCAGCAGCCATAAGAGCTGGAAGCAGACTTCTAAGGTGTACATGAGAAAGACTGGAGGAGAGCAGAGTGAAAAGCCGGCTTCCTCTTCCGGCAGGAGGGTGTCTGGGGGGACTTGCCAGGGCTTTTGCTTTTACATTGTTTTGCACAAGAGCTGAGCCTTGAGGATCATAGTACTGTTCCCAGTTTCTATGTCCCAAAGTATACTTGCACAGTCGAGATGCACACACAGCCTCACAAATGCTCACACACAAGCACAAGCATTTTACACCCACAGCAGTCTCTCACAAGTTCCCACAGACACGTGCATATTCATGCACATAGCCCCCCATGGCACAGTTCCTCTTGTGCTCCCCCACCCCCCACACACACTCTGCGGTTCACCTTCCCTTTAGCTCCAGTCCCCCCTCTGTACTTCCCTCCCCAGGTTGTCTTCCCCATCTCAGGAAGCAGGACTCAGCCTGAAACCATGATTCTACAGCTCAAGGCTTTGAGTCAACCTCAGTCCTCCTCCCCACACCCCTCATTCAGCATGCAGATAAGTTTGTGGGTTCCACCTGCCAAGCTGAGCCTGGGCGTCCCTGGCCTCTGCTGCACCTGCGTGGGCACAGGCTCCCTGCTGGCTGTGATCTTGCCCTGGCCCTGTCTCCACTTGGAGGTCAGATGGCCTTTGATAGTGTGGGGCATGGAACAGAAATCCTAAGCTTCTTACGCAGACATCTGGCCACATAAGCTACCCTGTGAGACCTGCGCCTGCTCTGCAGGCTCCTGCTGCACTGGCAGACCCTGCCAGCCACCTCCTTCCTGCCCAAGGGCCTTCTCCTCCCCTATTTCCTCCTAGAGGCCATTCTACACCCCCAGATCTCCCCTCCTGCCTGGCTCCCTCACTGGACCATGAGGCTCTGCCACTGTCACTCACCCCTGGATCCCGAAGGCTTGGCCTGGGGTCTGCCACACTGTGGGGACTCTTTCCACTTGAGGGGACAAGCCACAGTACACATACACACAGCAACTCCACCATGCATCTCCCGTGCACATAGAGACTCGGGTTCTGTCCCCACCAATCAGCCTATAGCAGGGGCAGAGGGTGGGGAGCTGGTCTGGCTGAGGCAGAGGTCTGGTAAGTTTGCCTGGGATGGGGCAGGTGCTGGAACTGCAAGGAGGGTGTTGCCCGGGGAAGGTTACCCTGAGTCTCTCCATGCGGTTACTCTCAGGACCATTCCACTGGATGATGAGCTTGCCGAGATCCAGCAGGAAAACGTCCCCTCGGTTGAAGCTCTTCCAGGACATCTCCACCTAGGGTGCACAGGAAAGGCCCAGGCCCCGCACAGAGGACCCATCCATCAGCATTGTCTCCTGGCCAACCCTCCCTGCATGTCACCGCCCCCACCAGTGCCCTAGGGGGCTGCACACCTCTCCAGCCACCACATTCCTCTTGCCCTTGACATGCAGCAGCCGCTGGACGTTGCTGGAGTTGGTCTCCACGTGCTTCATGCCGGAAGCCACGCCCCCTTTCTGGATCCTGAGGGGAGAAGACAGTCTACCCGAGGAAGCAGGGCTGGGAGGGGTGCCAGGCCCCTGTGTCCCAAGTTCTTGGCTGCCTGGCTGCCCTTGGGGCCACCTGAGAGTCCGGTGGGGGTGACGTGAGATGAGTGAGATGCCCAGGGTGTAAACTGTAAGGAAGTGGTCATTGCTGGGATCCTGCAAGCGTGAGGCCAGCCTGAGGCCTGCCTTTGCATGTATCCGTGGCAGTAAGCAGCTCCTAAAGTCTGCACCCCAGATCCTTACTCTCTCACGCTAGCCCCAACCCTGAACCAGGCCAGGACCCAGAAGCCAGGGGAGTGTAAGAAAAGAAGAGCAAGGTGCAGCTCAGGCACCCAAAGGAGTAGACAGTGGTGTGGGAAGAGGAGACAAAGATGAAAGGGGAGATGGGGAAAGGCCTAGCCTGTCCTACAGGTCAGCTGCAACAGGCTCCAGAGCCCAGGTTTCCAGGGGAAAGACAAGAGCCCAGAATCTCAGACTTTTCCAGAAAAATCTAGAAGGGCAGGTATCTGCCCATTTAGCCAAAGAGGGAAGGGGCTTGATGTGACACCCTACAGGCCTCCTTAGGCACGGAGCTCTCTAGGACACTCAGACAGGTGCTCATTTATAGAAGTCCACAGTACTTAGAGTCACAGGATTTCAGAATGACCACCCGGGACAGCTCACAGCACCAGCACACTCAGAGAGACAGGGCCCAGGACAGGGCAGCAGCAGAAATAAGGGCAGTGAGTGGAAGGTGAAGAAAATCAGCAAATACCCACTGTGGGTCCTTCTGGCCTCCCCTCACAGCCTCAGGCTTCCTTCCCTGAGCCAGGTCACCTCCCTCTGCCCAAGGGCTTCTTACCAATGCTGTGGGTCCCAGCGTCTCTGCCTCCTCAGCTCAGCCCCCATCTCCCGCCCCGCAGTCTGTCTCCCTCCCAGCACAGCACACCCCTCCCTACACAAGGCCCTTCTTGAAGTAGCCACGGAAGGTCTCGCTCTCATTGCCCTGGACCTCTCGGTGCTGGACAGCCCGGCCCTTCAGGAAGTCGTCCATCTGTGTGGTGTAGATGGCGGCCGCCCCCTGCTCATCCTGGGATGAGTTCTGGCCAATCCAGTAGTGGATATCGTAGGTCAGGTTGCTTCCAGTCTTGTGGATCTGGGGAGAGAGGGAATCCAGTGTGCCTGAGGTCCTGGGCTTCCGCAGTCCTGCGATTCCCCGCCTCCCTGTCTCCCACACACAGGGACAGTGCGGCACCGGGGAAGCTACCGGGCTGGTGGTCGGGACCTCTGGGCCATCACTTTGCTTTGCCCCTGACTGAGATGGGAGTCAGGTGACTTCCTCTCTGGGCCACTCTCCCCTCATCTTGGAAATAACTTGCTTACACTATAGCAGCATTTCCCAAAAGCACAGCATTTGCATGTAATCTACACACATCTCCCCTGTACTTTTTTTATTTTTATTTTTTTTGAGACAGGGTCTCACTCTGTAGTCCAGGTTGGCCTTGAACTGTCCAACCTCTTGCCTCAGCCTCTCAACTGCTGGGATTACAAGCACTCACCACCATGCCCATCTCCTTCTATATACTTTAAACCGCTTCTATATTACCTAGACTATGTAATGCACTGGAAGTGCTCAGGAAAAAGCTGTTATACTGTGTTGATTAGGGAATGATGATAAGAAAAAAGTCTGTAAATGCTCAATACAGATACTGGGTTTTTTTTCCTGAACATTTTCCATCTGTGATTGGTTGAACCCACTGATACCCTGTAGATACGGAGGGCGACTACATACAAAGTGATGCAAATACTTGAATACTTTCTAGCAACTTTATATTTATGACACACAACACTGCTTTCTACTTAGGGATGTGCACTTATAATGCTAAGTAACTGTATTTAAAATGGAGTCAATATAAAGAAAAATATAAATGCCTGAAAGTGCCAGGGGTACCAGGTAGCAAAATCAAGAAGGTGACACGGGGCCGGGGATTTAGCTTAGTTGGTTCTGCCTCCTGCCTTGAAAGCACAAGGACCTGAGTTCGATTCCCGCACCAAAAAAAAAAATGTTTTTGAAAAAAGAGGGTGATACTAAGGTGCCTGCAGATGTCGGAAATGGGGACTTTGGTGAGACGGCATCACACCAACTCAGAAGGTCCCACAGGACCGTGAATCCACCAAAGTTGCCTGGGACTTGAGCTCAGTGGCACTAGGGCAGGAAGAACCTCTTACCCATGCAGGCCTCTGACCCCACTGAGCTGGGCACCTGGCACACTGGAAATGCTGTCTCTCCCCACCGTCCCACCTTGGTGTTCCCTCCCCAACACCCCTGTGGGCTTTGCTCTCTGCTGAGCCCCTGCCCCTGCCAGACCACTCACAGCCAGGACCACATAGCAGTCACCGTCGTAGAAGCTCCCAAAGGTGCTGGAGGGAACAGGCACCATCTGCATGGCCTGAGGAGAGAACAAGGTCAGAAGGGCAGGAGAAAGAGAGGCAGGGAGGAAGCAGATGGCAGATGTACGCCAGGAAGGGATGGAGAAAAAGAGCAGGGGAAAGGCAGATGAGAGAAGGAAAACCCACAGAGACAGAAGAAATGACAAAGAAAATAGGAGCAGGAACAAAAAGAGATGAGTGAGGGCAGGAAGTGGAGAGGAAGTTGAGGGAGATGGGGAAGAAATGGAGGAGAGGGGAAAGGGAGGAAGTAGAGATGTGGGCGATGAGGAGAGGAGATGGAGGAGGGTGTGGATGATGCCGGAAGTGATGGGAGAAGCCAGTGACAGGTGGCAGCAGGTGCTCCAGGAAGCCACAGGACAGGACTGAAAGTGACAGAGCACTCCAGCCTCTCCCTCCCCTCCCCGTCGAGCACAGCAGGGCTCACCTCGATCCTCCATATCTGTATGCCAGGGGTGGTGATGTTGAGAGATCTTTTTATTTGGGAGCTCAGTTCCGTCATGGTGGAGGAGCCTACAGAAGAAGACAGGTGGGAGCCAGGCTTCAGAGCAGGGAGTGTCCTGGGCTTCTGGCTCTGCCCTTCCAGCCTAGCCCAAAGAGGCACAGTGTGCCTGGAGGCTGCAGGCCCACAGCCTAGGAGTGGAAGGAGAGCTGACTCCCCATTCTGGTCCCTGATGGCTGAGGGCCCAGTCTCCAGCCTTCTGACCCAGCTCTGATCACATCCCTCTCACTCAAACACCTCCCCAACTCCCTTTCACCTGCTGGACACACCTTTCTTCATTTAGCCCCCTATAATTTCTGTGTTTGAAAATCTTTTATCAGAGTCGTGTTTGTTTGTTTTAAATCATACAATGGACTGGGGGTTTAGCTCAGTGGTTCCACTGCCTGCCTCGTAAGCGGAAGGTCCTGAGTTCGATCCCCTGTACCAAAAGAAAAAAAGTCATACATAGCTGGGTGTGATGGCACATATCTGTAATACCAGCACTTGGGTGGCTGAGGCAGGAGGATCGCCTCCAGTTCAAGGCCAGCCTGGGCTACATAGTGAATTAGGCCAGCCTGAATTACATAGCGTGACTCTGACTCTGTCTCAAAAAACCTAAATAAATAATCATACAGAGTTTCTAAGAGAATAAAGACTTAAAGGTATATGCACCCAACAGGACTGAAAACCAATATTATAACAGAAACTTGTACTTAAAGTTCATAGCAGCTCTATTCACAATAGCCAAAAGGTAGAAAAAAAAAACAAAAAACAAATCTCCAAACTGGATGAACAAAGAGGGGTGTATCTACATAATGAAACATACTCAGCCATGAAAAGGAACGAAGTACTTTACTTCAAGGATACACGGATGAAACTTATGCTAAGTGAAAGAATCCAGACACAAAGACCACCTACTGTATAACTGTTTACATGAAATATCCAGGACAGGTAAATCTGTAGAAATAGAGGGAGAGGTTGCCAGGTGCTAGAGCAGAGGACATGGGAAGAAATTGCTAATAAGGACAGAGTTTCCATCTAAGATAGCAGAAAAATCTGGAAGTAGGCAATATTGATGGTTGCACAACATTGTGAAGAGATTAAATACCACTGAATTGTGTGCTTTAAAATATGTAAAATGGGGTGCAGGGGTGGGTAGCTCAGTGGGGCTGTGCCTGCCTTGCAAATGGAAGGTGCTGAGTTTGATCCCCAGTTTAAAAAAAATGTCAAATGGTAAATTGTATGAGTATTTTACCACAATAATTTTTAAAAAGTGTGTGCATCAGGGCATGGTGGCACATCCCTATAATCTCAGCATTCTGGGAGGCTGAGAAAGAGGTTTGAAAGTTCAAGCCTAGTCCAGGCAACTTAGTGACTTAGCAAGACCCTGTTTCAAAACTACATAAATAAAATAAAATGAGGCTGGGGCCAGGGATTTAGGTCAATGGATCCACTGCCTGCCTCGCAAGTGCAAGGTCCTGAGTTCTATCCCTGGTACCAAAAAAAAAAAAAAAAATTAATTAATTAATTAATTAATTAAAATGAGGCTGGGGCCAGGAGTGGTGGTACACACCTGTCATCCTAGCACTTGGAAGCCTGAGGCAGGAGGATTGCCATGAGTTTGAGGCCAGCCTGGGCTACATAGTGAGAACCTGTCTCAGAACAGGAGAGAGATAAAGAGAGAGGGAGGAGGGAGGGAGGGAAGGGGCGAGAGAGAGAGACAGAGAGAGAGAGAGAGAGAGAGAGAGAGAGAGGGAGCGCCCTTGGTTGAATCCCCGGTACAGAAAAAAAAAGTATATGCAATAATTTCCTGTCCCTCGTGAGCTACTCCCATAAACACCCTTCAGTCACTGCATGGTGGCCCACAAAATGTAGACAACACAAAGGCCATGACTCTCTACTTGCTCACTACTAACTCCAGTTTCTAGTGAAGTATGAGTAATTTGCTGGATGAATGAATGGATAAAGGGAGACAGTGAAGAAGAGAGGAATGAAGAAGAGAGGAATGAATGCATAAATGAATGGCAGAGTGAACCCCATACTGTAAGCCCCTCTCCCCCACTGAGCTAGAAGACGCCCTCCCCAGGTTTCTCCTGGCTGCTTGGTGCTTTGTTTTGACCTGTAGCTGTGTTCGCTCCAGGTGCTGATCAGAATCACCTAGGGAGCTTTTTAAAACTACTGATGTACCTGGGCTCAGGCCGCATCCCCAGGGGTTCAGATTTAATAAGCTGGAGTGAGCTCTGGGTCTGGCTGCTTTATTTTCTGCTGCTGGGAGGTGGAGCATGGGTGCTCTGTAAACTCCCCAGGGATCCTGCCGCAAGCCAGGGCAGAGAACCTCCTGTCCCTAGTGAATCTCATCCCAAGTTTCCCCACCCCACTCTCCATGGCCCTGCCTGCAGCCTGGCAGGAGTCACCCCTCTTGACTGCTCCTTGGACAGGTGACTAATGAATGAAAGGTCATGTGGCCCCTGCAGGTCACGGCCTTCACACTGACAGCTTCAGATCTCTGCAGCTAATCTCTCCTTGCACTTTGACTCTGAGTCACATCTTGGAATAATAAACGGCCATTTGGAGACTCCATGTTCTGAGCCCCAAAGGGAGGCTGCTCTCTGGTGTTCTAGAGTTCGGGGGCCAGGCCACTGGCCCAGTCTGATCAGTGTCCCTTGCTGACATGGGCCACCTGTGTCCATCATTGGCAGCTTGCTGTGTGTTTGTAGGAGTCCCTTGGGCCAGGCTCCTCCTGGTGTCCTGTAGGCCAACGCCCCCTCCATCAGGTGTTCCTCAACACTAAGAGTCCCAGGGAACCGCAGGTTCAGCAGAACCAATTTGAAGACAAAGGAAGAGAATATTTTCTGTTTAACTCCGCTCACTGTCCGTGTCCCCAAGCTCCTTTCTCCAAAACAGACTCTGGCACCTGCCAACTGTACACTGCAGACCTAATTCCTTGCCCAGGAGCGAGGGGTGTGGGCAGCTACACACTGACCTCAGAAGTCACCACAGTGGCCTGCCATGACTCCAGGAGAAAACCCACAGCTGGAGGAACTAGAGGTGGACACAAGGGGCGCTTCCAGCCCACATTCAGGGTCCACATGCCCTCTTTGGGGAGAAAGCAGGACTGGAGGCTGCAGAAGCCTGAGCAGGGAGGGAGGCAGCCTTGCTAGGGATAAGGGGATTCAGGGGAGGCTGGCTCTGAAAGGTGACCCGGGCCACCCATGGTGACCTCTAGCTGCTCCTGCCCCCTACCCATGTTGATCAGCACCTCCCCTAAACTTTGGAGAGGGTACAGGTCCCTGACTCCTCAGACCTGGCCGGCAAAGCCCTGGTTTGCACCCGTGCTCATTTCTCTCTCGTACTGAATGAGTTGAACTCATTCAATGACTGTCCTCACTCCTAGGCCCATGTCTTCTATGTCCTGAGCCTGGAAAAAGGGTATCCTTAGCCCTGGCCCCAGGCTGGATCTCACCCCTGCTGTGCCCTCCACCAACTCCCTCCCCACCTGTTCCACTTGCCCAACACATATGCCTTTCCAGACTCAGTTTAGGTTTCAGTTCTTCCAGATCCTTCCAAAATCTCAAGATGGACTGGCTTTCCCCCACCCCGCCACCCTGGACTGATGTCTCACTTTGCCCCAGACCACATCATGATGAAACGATCTCTTTATAAGCCTGAGGTCCATGAGTTCCCCAACCTAGACAGGCTCGTCTCTGCGGGCCCCCCCAGACTCTAGCTGACAGTAGGTGCTCAACAAATACCACTGAAGGTGAAAAACTCAACTGGAATAAAAGGAGGACCTTCCCGGTCCCTGGAGGGAATTAGGAACCTGCTGTCTCTAGCCATCTTTCCTTTCTTATCCACTGCCCTGTGATTCCTAGGGTGCAGCTTTAGGGAGCCCAGGGTCTCAGTTCCCATTCATTCATTTGTCTCTGCACTGGGCAGGTTCCTCCCCTCAGTCAAAGGACACCCGCCTACTTTCCCTGGTCTGTGAAGGCACAGGGTTGGAGAGCCCCCAGCCCCTCAGCGCCAAGGCTCTGCCCCTCAATGACAGGAAAATGTCTGAGTAGATGACCCTGGAGGAGGGCGGCCAGTGTGTCCTAAGGTCCAGGGCTGGACTTGGCTCCCACCCCCATTTTAGCTGAATGGGACCAGACAGAGAGGGCCTGTTCTCATGGAGGGGAGATGTTCCCATTCTCCCATTCAGTGCCTCATGCTGTGCCTCACATCTGGGATCCGGGAGGTGAGGACCCTGAGGTCCCAGAAGTGTCTGGGAAATGAATGGTGAGATAAAGAAAGAAACCACTTCAAATGAGGAAGAAATGGGCAAAAGGATGAACTGAGGGGGAAGAGAATGCTCAGGTCAGGGTGACCACGCAAGGCTGGTCTGTCTCGGACTATCTTGGTTTTAAGTCTAGAAACTCTAAGTCCCAAGATCTGCCTCAGCCCCAGGCAGTCCAAGAAGGTGACACCCTGCATGGTCCTGGGGCCAGTCACAGAGGAGGGGCCTCCAAACTTCTCTCCCTGGAGGCCCAGGACAGACCTGCTGGGCTCTGGGTTCCTTGCTCTTTCCAGAATCTCAAGGCCCCCGCTCACTCCCGAGCCCATTCCCAGGTGCTCTAGCTGACCCCAGGCTGTCCATAAGAAGCAAAGACCCTGTTTCTCCCCACCACCTGTGCTCCCCATGTGTCCCCACCGTGTGGCCTTACCTGTCAGAGGAGACTTCCGCCACCTGGGAGATCTCAGGGAGTTGTGGCGAGTTCACTGCAAGAGAGCGACCTTTGTCCTCACCCCCCTCCTCTAGGAACTGCCTTCGCCATATAAGGGAAGATAGGGCCCCAGAGAGAGAGAATGGCTGAGGGGGTGGGGAGGCAGGTGCCCGTTGGGTCCCTGGGCACCCATAGCCCAGCGACAGCAGTGATGAGCCCCACCCTTGGCTCTGAAGCCAGCCAGTGAGCGCAGGATGGGGCTCATTTCCGCCAAGGGCCTGGGCCCTGCTGCAGGTGGACAGTGCCTGCCAGGGAGGGGCACAGGCGCCAACCCTCCCTCCTCTTCATAGCGGGGGGCGGGGGAGCCTCATCTGTCCGCCCTGTCCTAGGGGGTGGAACACCAGGGAGGACTCCCCGGGGGCTCGGAGCCTGGAACCAAGGCTAGGGCCAGAAGTTCACAATTAGGGCCCTTCAAGGAGACATAGGGGTCCTGACACCCCAAAAGGGCCCTTCAGCCCAGCCCTCGCTTATGGGCACCGATGCCCTTCTGTCCTTCCCACGTTGGGGGCCCAAGCTCCTCCTTGAGATTTTATGATTTACCATAAACCGGTACCCTTGGACTCTGCTCTGTATCAGGACCACACAGCTTCTGCTTTCCACGCTTGGGCCTGGGGGTCCCTGTCACTGGGACGGGAAAGGGGTGCAGCCCACTCCATTGTGGGTCATGTTCAGATTCAGCACCTTGGGCAGCTGTCCCCAACCTGCAGAAATTCTCATCTTCCCTGGATCCCAGCTCTTCGGAGGGTGAGATGAAGTGGGCTGGCGGAGGCAGCCCCTTCTCCTGACCACACCCTCCCAAGAGCTCTGGAGACCAAAACTACATGTGTGTGCACAGGTGTGCACCACAGGTGCTATTTTGTTTATTTTCTTTCTTTCTTTTTTGCAATAATGGGCATTGAACCCAGGGCCTCCATGCTGTGTTAGAGTGCCAGTGTTTTTTTATTTTGTGCTTGTCTGTTGGTTTTTGTTTTGTTTTAGAAAGGGTCTTACCAAGTTGCTAAATGCTCAGGTTGGGCTTGAACTTTTGATCCTCCTGCCTCAGGCTCCCACAGTTCTAGGATTGCAAACATCCCTCACCTTTCCTGCCTGCCATTTCACTCAACTATATGAACAAAAGTTCATCTCTAATTCCACAAGAGATAATCTACACACAAATCATTGCTAGTGATTTATTTTGAAGAATCTTTTCATTTGGGGGGATGCATTTATTTTTTTTTTAATTAGTGCACATTCTGAGTACATCACAATTATATTCATCAAGGGGAGTTGGTACATGCATATAACACATCTTCATTATTTTTACAGCCCTTTCCTCTCCCTCTTGCCACCCTAATTCCATCTCTTGGTCCTGTCCCCTTCCCATTTGCAAAAGATCTATCTCCCTGTTTCCTATTACATGCCTTTTATTTTGCTCTTTAATTTAATTATACTTTAGGCTTCGCATATTAGGAAAACCACATGCTATTTAAGCTTGTGTGTCTGATTTACTTCACTTAACATTATGATCTCAAGGTGCATCCATTTTCCTACAAATAACTAAAATTTACCCTTCCTTATGGCAGAGTAAGCCTCCACTGTATATAAATACACATTTTCTTTACCCAGTTATCTGTGGGTGGGACATATGAGCTGTCCAAGAATCAGCTATTATGAATCGTACTGCTATAAACATGTATCACTATAATATGATGTCTAACTTTTCCAGGAAGATACCTACCAGGAGAATTAGCTGGGCTGAATGGAATTTCTATTTTTAGTTTTTTGAGGCATCTCTATACTGATGTCCACAGTGGTGGTACTAGTTTCTATTCCCACTAACAGTGTAGAATGATTCTTTTTTCCCCTAGACTCGGCAGCTTTTGTTATTATTTGATTTCTTTTCTTTTTTCTTTTTTTTTTTTGGTCCTGGGGATTGAACTCTGGACCTTGTGCTTTCAAGGCAGGTGGCATCACTGAGCTAAATCCCCATCCCTATTTGATTTCTTGATTGCCGTTCTTGCTGGAGTAAAAGTTGTTTTAATCTGCATTTCACTAATGGCCAGAAATGTTGAATGTTTTTCATGTATGTTAGCCATTTATATTTCTTTTTCAATTCATTTCAATTGCCTCCCCCTTGGTACCAGGGATCAAACTCAGGACCTTGTGGTTGTGAGGCAGGTGGTGGCACCACTGAGCTAAATCCCTGGCCCTTCAATTGCCCATTTTAATTGTCTTTTATTCTGAGGGTCTTAATTTTATTTTAGTTCTTTCTATATTCTGGGCATTAGTCCTCTGTCCAAGGAGTAGCTGGCAAAATCTGGTCTTTCTGTAGGTTGTCTCTCCACTTTGTTGTTTCCTTTGCTGTACAGAGTTTTAAATTTGATATAACCCTATTCACTAATTCTTGATGTCATTTCTTGTGCAACTGGGGCTCAGAAAGTCCTTATCTACACCTATGTCTTCAAGTGTTTTACCTATTTTATCTTTGAGAAGATTAAATGTTTCTGATTTAACATTTAGATCTTTGATCCACTTTTATTTCAGTTTAGTACACAGTGAGAGATACAAGTCTCAATTCAATCTTCTGCATGTGGATAGCCAGTTTTCCCAGCACAATTGTTAAAGAGGCTATTTTTCCTCTATCTTATGTTTTTGGTCACTTTCTCAAAGATCAGATGGCTGAATGTGCCTGGAGTTGTTTCTGAATCATCTGTTCTATTTCATTGATCCAAATGTCTGTTTCTGTGCCCATACCATGATGTTTTTGTCATTGTTGCTTTGTAATATAGCTTGAAAGCTTTTATTAGGACGCCTCCTGCTTTGCTCTTATTGCCTAAGATTGCTTTTGCTAATCTGAGTCTCTTCTGGTTTCATTCCAGCCACCTCCAGTTTTCATGTTCTTCTTTGTGCCCCAAGTGACAGCTTTCTCCACCTAGACTTATGGCCTGTGGGTTTATGAGCTGCCCCCCACATACACTCAAAAGGCTCCTCTGTCCATATACCCCGGGCTCTGGCAACCATTCAAACCAAGGCATATCCCTGATCACACTGGCAGGGGAAAGCAAACAGACCCTGAGCTCTATGACGGTTGTAGACAGTGGGGTAGGGGTGGGGGTCAAGCAGTTCATTGGACTTAGCAGATCTTCCAGACCCTGCCCCCTCCTAAACCACACATGCCTGACCTGACTTCTCATTTCAGAGGGTGGGATGCCCTTGTCCTGACTTAAACTTCTCAGGGTGTCTATGCACTCCCCATGACTGCCTTTCAACTCTACTCTCTCCTCTACTCTCTGTGATAGGGTTACCCCCAAAACCCTGACATGTACTTGATCTGTCACTTCTGATCTGTGGAGTAGCTCGGTCTTAAACAATGAATCCCTTCCAGAAACAACCCTTCATCACACACTCAAATGTGGTGGGCGCTGCACTCTCCTCCTCTAGCTTATATGTGGAAGGAGTCTACTCTTAGAGTAAGCTTCATGCTGTTTTTGCAGTTTATAACATCCATGGACTTTTCTTGGGCCTAGACCACTGCTTCTCCCTTGAGCTGCTGACCTATGTTAGCAGAGATAGGTCACCCTCCCTGAGAGCTGGGGTTAGCTTTCCACACTGCTTTGTTCTTGCTGTGTTTCCCCAGTGTCTCTGTAGTTCCTAGTTTTCCTAAGAGCTCCCTCTTGAGTCCCAGAGATCTTTTTTTTTCCTTCACCAAGTTGTTACACAGGTGTCCTGGTTCCAGCTTTTGGAGAGGTATATTTTGCTGTCAGTCTTTACTCTTTTTTTTTTTTTTTTTTTTTTTTTTTGAGACAGGGTCTCACTGTGTAATTCAGCCTGGCCTCGAACTCACAGCGATCTCCTGCCTCAGCCTCCCAAGGGCTGTAACTACAAGTATGCACCACCACTTTCAATTTCCAGTACAATATCCTTTAATATTTTTCCAGTACATATGCTGAGTATGATTATATGCACAGAATATCTATCTATACTTATACTTTTTTACGGTCACATACTTTGCAACTTAATTCTCTCTCTCTCTCTCTCTCTCTCTCGCTCTCTCTCGCTCTCTCTCTTCTTTCTCTCTTTCTGAGACAGGGTTGTGGGATGTAGTTCAGATTGGCCTTGAATTCATTTTGTAGCCCCAGGCTGGCCTCAAACTCACAGCAATTCTCCAGCCTTAGCTTCCCTAATGCTAGGATTACAGCTGTGTACACCACACTGGCTGCAACTTCATTTTCGGTTGTCTCACAGTAATCTATTAGAAAGCACAGTTTATGTAACCAGCAGCTCTTATTGGACTTCAAAATTGTATCCAGATATTTGATCCCACAAAGAATGCTGCAATGGGCCAGGAATGTAGCTCAGTGGCGCCCAGCCTGCCTGACAAGTACAAGGCCCTGAGTTCAATTCCCAGTATCAAAAAACAAAAACAAAACAAAACAAAGAATGCTATTGTGAGTATTCTTGCTAAATATTCTTGCTATTTGATTACATGCATCCCCCCCACCCCCCGGTACAGGGGATCGAACTCAGGACCTTGCACTTGTGAGGTGGGTGCAGCATTACTGAGCTAAATCCTTGGCACTGCATGATTATTACTTTAGGATATACTCCCAAAAATGAAATTGCTGGCTCAACAATATGACTAGGAAAACTGCCTTCCACAAAGGCCATATTAAGGGCTGCACCCAGTATTACATGAGTGTTTGTTTTTCTAATTCTCCTACACTCTGGGCTCCAACTGTTAAAAAAAACTCTATTTGATTGTCAAAAAAAGGAAACAGTAAACCAAGTATGATGCCATCTGCCTATGATCCCACCACTCTGGAGGCTGAGGCAGGAGGGCCCAAGTTGGAGTCCAGCCTAGGCAATTTAGCTACTTAGCGAGATCTTGTCTCAAAATTTAATAAATAAATAAATAAAAAGGGGTAAGGATGTAGCTCAGTATGAAGGCTATAGATTTAATCCCCAGTACCACACACACAAACACAGTCATGGTGTTTTTTGTTTTTTACTTGAGACAGACCATTTAAAAACATGTTTGTATAAGAAAAAACCCTCCACTTGCCTCGCAAGTACAAGGTCCCAAGTTTGATCCCCCGTACCAAATAAACAACAAACAAACAAAAACCATATTTATTGGTAGGATGGGGATGTTGCTCAGTGGTAGAG